TTTGAAAGCAATGCAGCCATTTTAGCTTATTAAAACTTGGTTTCTTTTTTAGACAGTGTTCATTTGATAGTTATAGAGACTCTAGCCGCGAGATGGATAATTTGATCAGGAATTAATGTCAGTCACAATTTCTACAATAAAATTAAATATATTGAAAATGATATTCTATCTCTATGCATAATAATTTGAGTGGATATCTTAGTCTCTACTTCATTCAGTCATTCATTCAGCAAATGTCAGTGGCAGTTCTTATTGTGGGGGTTCACACTAGTTTCAGGAAATGACCACAAAGGAGAACATGATGTAGTCACTGAGAGGCTGAGAGTCTTTGTAAGTCCAGTAACTAGCTGCCTCCACTTCCCAGCCTTACAGTCAAATAAGAGATAAGTAAATTTTGTGAACAGAAAAAGCAATTAATTGAAATATTTAAATTTTTACTTAGTACTGTCTTCCAAAGATCTACTTAGAAATAACAAGGTTTTTTTTTTTATCACAATTTAATTTCATTGTACACATCCATTTTACTTAGTGACTCAAACTATCCCATTCCCATCCTATCTGCATTATGGGTTATATATCAAATGATAAGTATGATTGGGAAGGAATCTAATCTGAGATTTTTCTAGAAGAAATGCCACTGTAATCCAGTTAGGGAATGGTTCAAGACATTAATCATGGACAAAGATGCTCCAAGCCATCTGGCATCCTCAGTTATTCTTAGAGAGTGCTTGCGAAAAGAAAAAAAAATATGAGGAAATATTGTAGTGAATTCAGGTTTGCTCAAAATATTGATTCATCCAAGCTCTAAATTTTTCGGACTTCTGTTTCTTTTTTTCAAGTTTTCACTCTTTAAAAAATGCTTATTTGATGACATATTTACTATAAACTTCACTCCTAGTAGGACATTTGACACCAGGCTTAATCTTTACTCCTACTGAGATATTTCCATACACTTTGCTTTATTGTCATATCAGTAACATTTCACAGACTTGGGTGGGGAATACAGATATAGCAGCCCAAGTGAAAAGTAATAGTGCAGCAGTGTAAGCCTGATCTAGGGCTGGTGCTCCATTTGCGCACTCCAAGTGCTAGAGCTCTACACATGCAGGCTTAATGCCTTAGTGTATTGTCTGGCCAAATGAGCACTGGCCATTCTGGGTCAGCAGCTGTCATTGCTTTGCAGAAACTTTCCCCAATGAGTCATCTAAATCAGTAAATATATTAGAATTTCTCATCATAAGACTTTCTTTTCACTCTTGCACTTTTCATGATTTTTGATTGTCTTGTTTAATTAATACTTTGATGTCTACCTTATTTTATGATCACAACAGTTCTACAATGTACTAGGTACTTTGATCTACATTTTCAGATATAGAAGTTGGTTGTTTGCTCCTAAATGCTAAGCAACTGCCACAGTGCCTGCAGATATTTATATATAATAAGTTGATAGTCAATAAATTGATTGCATCAGCTATCTCCTAGAGTTGAAACTTGACTCTCTGGACATGATGGGAAAAGTGGTTTAAAGAGAGTTAGGTTAGACAAATGCCTGACTACATAAGACTCTGATAGAGACATACACCCTATGAGTTTCATCTGTCGTTGATAAAATTAGTATAGCACCTACTTCATAGAATTGTTGCTAGGATTTAATAAGATGATATAATCAAATTGACCTAATCTTAATAATATAACCAAATTATTCACTCTTAATTTGTATTATCAAATACAAATGTTTAAAGAGCACATCTCATTTCTCCTCCAAATAGTATTCAAATGTAATATCTAATCCTCCAGTTAAGTAGCTTGCATTTCTTACATTGTTCTTATACTCATTGGTTCATCACTTCCTTCAGCAAAATTTTATTATGGGCACATAGGATCATAAATCCATAAAGAATACAACTAAGTAGGAAGCTAAATTACATGAATAATCATTCAGCATCAACATCATTCAGAGATCCTCCTGAAGCACAGATGTCTGGAAATTATCCCTCGGGTTTCTGACTTAATAGGTCTATGGTGGTCCCTGAGGACTTTCATTTCTCACAGGTTCTGAGGTGATGGAATCTCCTTTGAGAACCAATGAACTAGAGTATAGTGATATTTGACCAAGGAGAGGTAGGAAATTATAGGAGGAAACTTTCATTAAAAAACTTCATGAGTTTTTTTTATGTAGAAAATGGTATTAGCCCTAGCATGAATGATGGGAAAGAATTTGAATGAAGTTTCATTTTTTTTAACATTCTGAATGGAAACAATTGTGTTTGAGTGAATATTACAGATGGTATTTTGATAAATCTATGATTGAAAATAAACTGAATTTATTCAGTTTATTAGAAGTAACAGCTATAATATCAAAAGTGGAAATTTTTGACACATAGATATTACATCAGAAACACTTATGCTACATGTTTTCTTGGTAAGAACATACATATGCTAGAGTGGAAGAAATCAATTAAAGGACTTTTGAATTTATAGCAAATGTGCATAATTAGAAGAGCTAAGTGAAATAATATATACTATAGTACCATATTGACCCTGGTGTACTTTTTGATTATGTAAGTTGCCTGTTGTATAAAACATATGTTTTCTCTATAATACTACTGACAAATTAATAGAGAACTAGCTGGCTATTAGTTAAGCTGAGTGCAAATTCATACCCCCTTTACACTGAAAGACAAAAAAATACAAAGTATAAATAAAAACACTGCACATGTATAACGGAGATTGCTGCTGTGAGGACTAGTTTAAGTTTACAATGTACTATATTCTCCAGTAGAACAAATGCAACTTCAAAGGTGAGACTTGAGAGGACTGGAATTACAGTGCTGAAAGGAGTTGACATTGGAAGTATAACCAATGAACTGGCTGATACAGTCCATGAATAATTAGTGGAAGTTCAATTTGTCAAATTCATCTACCAATTCTGCAATCATGATTGAGCAGTTCTTCATGACCATATCCAGTGGCTTGGTACAGCTGCTAATCCTGCTGTTACCTTGATACTGGCCACGATGTGAGAAAAAAATATCTCTCTCTTTCATTAAATATTTACCATTTTCAAATTTCAAGTACCCACTTCTTGAGAATGATGGATTACATGCACATCTTTAGGAGATGTAAAGCAAGTTAAAATATCTGAATTTCCTAGGCTAAGATTAAGTAGTACACATTTTTAAATGTTTACCATGTCCTTAAGTGAGTGTTAAACATTTTTTTACTCATGATCAGTTCCTCTTCATAAACACTTTGAGGGATGCATTATTAGTTCATTATTTTATAGGGATTGAAAGACAGGTTTAGAAAGGCTAAATAATTTAATTTTTCAAATGAAAAATAAAAATTATACATACTTATGGTTTACACCATGATATTTTAATATGTATGTGCATTATAGAATGACTAAGTCAAGATAACTAACATAATTTATATACATATTTTTTCTGATGAGAAAATTTTAAATTTATTCTCACTAGTACAATTTACCTTCTTTCTAAGTCCAAAAAATACCTGAGATATATCTTTTTCTCTCAATCTTGGGAGCAAGAATAATTAAACAGAAGTTGAAAACCAGTGTTCCATTTTTATAATAAAAATAATTTAACTAAAATACAGATTTGGATGTGTGAGTTTAAACATAAAGAAAACCCTTCATAATAGTAAAAAATTTAAGGAAATTCAGCTCTCTCAAAAATTTTAAGACCTCAAAGTAGTTTTGAGGTAAATAGCAATTTTGTTATATGGCAGAGCATTTTTAGAGAGGAATATTTAATAGGATGAATTGAAGAAATACATTTGTCATGAACGATAAAAATTTATGAAACTAAGTTTCATTTAGTTACAGGCAAAGTATTATGAGATATGGAAAGCTAAACATTTTTCTAAAGTTTTTTTCTAATTTTCTTTGATTTCCTTAAGGCAAAGTTTAGCTCAATAAGTTATCTCTTGAGCATAATGGGATATGCTTCCACAATTGATAGGAAATTTGCATATAGTTTTTGAACCTCTCTGTTGCCATCTTAAAAAGTTGAGCATTTGCATACACAAACACACACACACACACACACACACACATTGAACAATACTTAATAAAAAATTTTCACAGTCTGCCATTAAGCTAGATATTCTTTCAGATGACCTTTCATGATACAAGGATAAGAAGACTCACATATCCAGTACCTCTGATATGTCAAACTCTTTGTATGCATAAGTTATTTTAAACTCTACAACCATGAAAAGTAGATATTATCTTCATTGTACAAATGAGGAAGTATCTTTTTCCAAGTAACAACTATTAAATTCAGTAGCTTGAACTACAGGCTCATGCCTGTAATCCTAGCCACTAAGGAGGTAGAGATTAGGAAGATCGTGGTTCAACACCAGCTCAGGTGGTGGTTCACAAGATACAGTGGCTCACCATATCTTGAAAACACCCAAACAAAAAAATGACTGAGTGACTCAAGTAGTAGAGTATCAGCCTAACAAGCATGAGGCTCTGAGTTCAAATTCAGTATTGCAAAAAAAAAAAATTCAGTAGCTGGGTCTTTCTCATTGCAAGCCAGCCTAACTTTCTATGTTGTAATGTACTGTTTCTGTCTAAAAGAGGATGAAAATGCTTAAAAGAGCAGACTTCAAGGACAGATTGGACAGGTAGATTTACACAAATCGGAGAGAATTAGGTTGCAGAAGTACCAACAATAGGAACAAATTGTTGTCCTAATAGAAAATATGCAACTTTAGGCCCGGTTCCCATTTACCTTGTAGGAAGTCTACAGCTTCAAATTCAAGTTGTCCCAAACAGAAATCATTAACTTTCATTCTATACCCCTCTCCACCCAGTCACTCAAACCAAACACCTCTTTCCCTATACCTTGAACTTACAAAATCTCTCTCTCCCTTAGACTGTGAAATATCAATAATCCTTGAAACATCTCTCAAATCCACTCCCTGTTTTTCTTTCTCATAGTCTCTGTTTTATTCTAATTCCAAATCATTTGTCAAGTGGGCTGTTGCAATACACTGTAACTTTCTCTGCCTCCAGTCTTTCCTTCTAATTTGTTCTCCACCTTGTTTGCCACCAGAATATCTTCGTAAAATGTCAGAATTACCAAACAACAGCCCTGCCTAAAAGAGAAAAAAAAAAAAAGAAGAAAACTTGCATAGTCAAAATGATACATTAGGTCAAACAAACAAATTTAAACCTTTGGCTTATTAAATCTTAATGGAAGCTTTGGAACATTTAGAAGTCTAAATGTAGGAGATTTTTCTAACTAAATGAATAAAAGTTTCATCTAAAGGAAAATAGATAATTTTCAAAAGCAATTAGATGCTGAATAACTGTTTTCAAAAAACTTTTAAAGGGATACATGGTTTATTATCAATTAAAATTATGTATAAGAGAATAACTCCTGACTTGAAGGAAAGTGAATAATGTAGGTTTGTGTGTGTGTGTGTGTGTGTGTGTGTGTGCATGTCTGTCTTATGTGATATGTTTTTGCACATGTGTAGGTGTGTGTATGAATTCCATATAGCAAACTTGGCAGTTTGGTTTTAGGGACTTTATTTAGTATTCAAGCAGGATTCAATTAATAATTACTCATTAAATCAATGAGTACGTGCTGGCTGAGGACTAAGAATTCAGAAACATTGATAAGGTTTCTGCCCATGGTTTCTGGAACTCAGAGTAAGGCACACTAAAAGTTTTTCAATATTCATGTCTTCATTAATCTTTTGAGGAAAATTTTACAAATAAATTAAGAATATATGCTTGATATATAGACTTAGACCTGAAGATGCGCAAATACATATGCAAAACTTCAAGCATTTCCATTGAGGGTGCTTAGAATTTTTTGTGTTTTTTTTTCACTAAATTGGATGGCTTTATGAAATATACAGATGGAGGGATGATGGACAGTTATATAGATCAATTGATCTTGGAATGAAAATAAGACCAATTTTTAAAATGGCATATTAAAAGTAGGAACTACTTTTGTTTCAAATTGATAGCACAAACCCAAGTTTTCTAAATGAGGCATAATATGTTCTGTTGTCATCTCTAACTTCCTGATAATAAAGTACTTTATTGCTTTACCAATTTGCTCTTATGAATTTTATCTTCAAAATAGTGTCTTTATTCAAAACCTAATTTTTAAAAGTTGTATGACTTATTATCCTTTTATAAAACTATCCTTAAATGTAAGTCAGGATACAATAAGATAGTTGCACACCCATGTTTATTGCAGCATTAGTCACAACAGCTAAGCTAGGGAAACAGCCCATATAATCTTCAACTGATGAATGGATTAAGAAAATGTGAGATATGTGTATAAATATACCCTTCTTTGTATATATGTACATATATACACACAGACACAATGGAATATCATGTATATTATGAATATTATTAAGTCATTAAAAATAAAATTTTGTCATTCACAGGTAAATGGATAGAACTGGAGAACATCATGTTAAGTAAAGTAAGCCAAGTTCATAAAGACAAAGTTCCCATGCTTTCTCTCATATGTGGAAGACAGATACAAATACAAATACAAACATCATCATATATACATATATACATAGAATACATTTCCAATAGTAGGGCTATTAAAAGATACTCAGGGAGAAAGGAAAAAAGAATAGAATGATAAAGAGTTAATAATATTGAAATATATCGCATCTGTGTAGGAATGACACACAATGAAACAAACTGAAAACTGCTGAACAATACAGGGTAGAGAGAAAAAGGTAAGGAAGAGTAATAGAGGGGGTTAGACTGATTAAAGTACATTATATTTACAGGTAGATACCAAGGCAAAAACCATACTGGACAATGCACAGATGCTTAAACAATGAAGGACAGGAATATATAACAGGTCATGTTAACTGAAGGTTACTAGCAGGATGGGGAGAGTAAATGAAGAAGGTAAAGGAGGGTGACTATGGCTGATGTATTTTCTACACGTGTATGAGTATGGAACACTAAAACCTGTTGAAGTCATTTTAAGAAGGGGGTGGGGGAAGAATAAAAACAATGAAGGAAACAAACCAAACCTGAGGACATTGTACGCATGTATGGAAACATCACCATGAAATCCCCTGTACAACTACTATAAATTAATAAAAATGTTTTTTAAATAAAATTAAAATATCCCTAAACCAAAATATGTCTTCCCTAATTTTTAAGCTAAATAGTACTAAGAAGGCAGCAACATTTGTCTTAAGTGTAGTGTTAGGTGAAGTTTGGGGAATTGGGCAGTTTGGAAAAGGTAATGCAATTTTATTATATGGAAATGATTCATTATTGCATCACCAATTATGATTTCTGAAATTGTTATTTGGAAGCAAGTGTGTGAGGTAAATACTCTGAAAAAAACGTAAATGTATAAATAATATCTCATGTTGACTTTTTTATCCTGGATAATAAATAAACCTAAGACACTGGCTTGAAGATCATTGAAATGCAATAGTTTTTCTGCATCAGTTTTAGAGACACATTAAAAAATAATTTGATATATGAAAAATGAGTTAATTCAAAAGTTCATAGAAGTATCAAGTATTAAATAATTTCAGTTTCATAGAATTAACTTACTAAGGAAACGAACAGGTAGTGAATGTATGCTGTATACAGGTTCTATTATAAGTACTTGGTTATCATCGTTCCTGACCTTAAGTTGCTTATGAGAGAGACAAAGAGGAAATAGTGTTCCCCAGACGCCATACTGTCTTCTTCAAGTTATTGAGGAACTTCCTGTTCACTTGTTTGCTAGACAGATGGTTGCCTCTGTAGAGATTACTTTTGCCAGCCTTTCTGTAGCTAAGAGCTGAATGAAAGGATGAGAGAAAGTAAAGTATGTAACTGAGCTTGAAGCATCTTTCTCTGACATTTGTCTTATTCCACTTCTCCCAGGGTTGTAAGGTATTGACCTAGTGTCATCCATGGACACAATGACAACATTTGGCTGATGCTGGGGAAAAAAAGATGGAAGAAGTCTGTGTGCCTGGATCATTACATGGGGCATACCTATTTCACTAAACCTCCTCCACTCACCTCTAGGACACTGCATGAAAGAGAAATTAGCTTCGATCTTATCTGCACCACAATGCTTTGAGGGCCTTTGTTACTACAATTTAGCCAATCCCTGATACAATAAATAAGCAAATATTTATTGTACACTAGATATTCTCTGATAATTTTATTGCTCAATTAGTCGTCTCAGTTCCTATGACAACAAAACAAAAAAATCTCCATCATTCCAACTGTTTGGACCAAAACCTTTGAATCATTTATCACTTCTCACTTTATCTCACATACCATTTCCAGTCCAATCCAGTAATAAAAACTATTGACTGATCTTTCAAAATAGTTCCCAAATTTAACCATTTCTTACCATCTCTAATTTTTCGCTACCTTAAGTCCAAGTCTTCATGATCCCTCTCTCTTAGACTCTTGCTATAGTTTTCGGATTGGTATCTCTGCCTTCTCTCAGCTACCAGAGTTTATTTTGCATAGCTGCAAGAAATTTCCTTATTAGTCATAATTAGACTACATTGCTCTTCTGCTCGCATCCGCCTAAGACTTCCAAACTTGACTATTAAAAAATTCAGACCTTACTATATCACTGATTTGTTACCCTATTCTCCCACCCGTTGCCCCATAATAGCTCATTTCACTCCAGCCACACTGCCTTCCCTACTGTCCTTTGAATATGTCAACCACAACCTTGTCTCAGTGATTGGCACATTTTTTATTCTTTTTTGCCTAAAATGTTATGTCTCTGCTCAGTATTCAACTTAACAAAGATCCTCCCTTAACCCCACATAACATAACAATGCCTTCTCCACCCCACGTGCTGCTGCTCCCTGTATCTTTACCATGTTTTGGTGTTCAAAGCTCTTACCACACCCCTCACACATTATTCACTTTTCTGTTTTGTATCTCCTCCATTAGAACATAAGCAAAAAATAATTCAATTTTATATTGCTTGGACTCTAATATAGCCCAAACATAATGCCTGGAAGGTAGCATATGTAAAATCAGTATTTCCTAAACGGATAGATTGAATGTGTGAACTAAATAAAACCCAGTTCTGACCAATGTGGTTATCCCGAAAGCACAGAGGATATTAGGAACTTCAGAGAAGAGAATCCAGGCCAGTCAGAAGGTGACAGAGAAGGCTTCCTAGCCTACATTGATTAATTCTGAAGAACAATAGTGTTTGAGTATGTGTAATCCAGGCAGAACAAAACATGTACAGAGTTACAGACACAGGTGAGCACACAGGAACTTGAACCAGAGCAAAGGAGTGGTGAGTACAGAATCCAAAGGAAGAAGGGCAGATCAGAAATTAATGACCACACCCACGGGCCAGCCATAGGACTTGATGCTTACTAGACTATGTGAAAAATCAGGAGATGATGAAAACAAATGGTTAGAGAATTTCCCTCAAGTCGCTTAAATGAGCTACATGGCAGCATTGGGATTCAGATGCATGTCTGCACTAACTCCAAAACTTGGTTCTCTCATTTCACTACAGAGTCTTCTGACCTGAGGAGTTTGGATTTTTATCCACAAGAAGACCCTGGAAAATGTTAATCATGGTAATGACATGAGTGTGCTTTTCTCTTAAAAAAATCTTGCCCATGATTACACAGAAAATGCATAAAAGTGGAACAAACCTAGTACATGAAGACCTAAACAAAGTATTTGGACAATTCAGACAAGAAGTTATAAAAGCATGAACTACACAAGGTCAGATAGGGACAGATGACAGAGATAGGCTCATAGAAGGAACAGAATTTGTGATCAACATATCCTGGAATAACTCCTAGATTTCAACTATGGGAAATTTGTTACAGAGAAAAGGGAGGGTGACATTCACAATGCTGGAGAATAAAGTAGGTAATGTACAGAGAAGATTATTTCAATCATTTCAATCTGGTAACACAGATGTTTTAATGGATAGATCTGGATTAGACCCCCAAGATTTATAGCTTTTAGTCCTGTGGTCATTTCTCTACAAGACAACTGAGACCAAATGTTCATCACATAAACACATAGAGACAGAAACCTAGTTCACCAGTTCAGTTATGTCAGGAAAATTCTACATTTTCAGAGCATAGGGAAC